TTTTTTAGAGTCTCAATCAAATAATTTTAGAGAAGATGTTTAGTATGTTGTAATAATCTGATTTACCATATGAATTTTGAGCTGAAGTTGTTGAACCTGCAGTGTATTTGGTAAACCTTTTTTAATTCTAGTACAATCAATTTTGTAATATTATTTGAATTGAGTCACAAACTAATTATACTGATGACTAATTATACTCGTTTGAGATACTTTAATTGTACATTTGTCGTCTCATGCATAAAAAGATAGTATCAAGTTGGCTACTATATTCACAAAATGTCATTTTTTTAATATATTAGTGGTGTGAAGATTATAGAAATGAGATAAAAAAACCTATAAAATTATTATTCATAGGACTGTTTTTTTCAATGAGTCTAGATCATTAAAAGAGGAAAAAAATCAGTTTTCTTGTACTGACAAAGAAAGATCTCCACTTACAAGCATTATTGAAAATAGAATGATCAATATGTGATCAATGACATGATACAAGGAGAAGTTTTGATAAAGATGTAGCAAATTCTTGAAGAGCATGAATTAGAGCAAAAGATTATTGTTGGTGAGAACAAGTACACCAAACAATAAACATCAAACGTCAATCAAAATACTATTAAATTGAATTAGTACAACTCTTGCAAGATATGAATTATGGTTTGATTTATCCAATCTTGAAAATTATGATATTGATACAAATGATGATAATGCCATTTCGTTTATCTTGAAAAATTAATAATATATTCCTTATAGAGAAATTCAAATCTCTCTGTCAATAAGTTTGAGTAAAATGTTGCTTTGGAGAGTGAAATGCAATTGTTGGTGGAACAAGTCATAAGAGCTAGCAAAGCTTACAAATTATCAACCTTTGATTATTTACAATTGATTATACAAGCTGAAATATAATCTAGCAGATAAAAAAAATAATTCAAAGTTAGTTAAGTGTCTTGTGATCTTTGCACTAACTCTCAATTAGGTTTATCTGATGTCTTTGTGAAAATTTACTATGGTTCTAGAAAGTCAAGATTTCTAACTTGTAGATATTTCAAACACACTCTCATACAAACTTTCCATTTATCACTCAATTGCAAACATTCATGGATATTCCAAAGAAATATTGCAATTCAAACTTATATTGATAAAACAAGTTATCACACAAAAAAGTCTTCAAACTTGCTAAAGAGTCTCTTATCTAACTCTCTACTTATAATACTTGAGAATTTATCATAAACACAAATGGTAATTATTATTTAACTTGTATAAAGATAAATTATAGTAGGTTTGATTAATTTTCAATACATTGCAATATGTCATTGGTTTGATTAAATATTCTGGAAGTTTTTTAATCCCTAGGTTGAGGTGTTGATATGTCATATGAGACTTTCAAGCTTCTAGAATCTTCACTCACCATTCAATCAACTTAGACTTAGTCTAATTTGATTTACTGATTTACTCCATTTTTTAGTCAAATCAATCATTTTCTCTTAAAATCTAGACTTTTGTAAGAGACAAAATAGTAATTTCCACTCAAAAATTCTAGAGTTATACTAATTATTTTTCAAATTATATATATATATAATAGCTAAATTTAGTCATAACGAGATGAATTTATTTTAGTTAGTTATACTTAGTCAAAACTAAGCTGATTATGATAAACTAGTTAGTTACTTCTAACAAGTACTTCACACATACAACAATGAAACTTACATGCCATATGTTTCACACAAGATTAAAGTGTGGATTATAACAAAGTTTTTTCACTTGTAACAAAGTATGTTACAAGTCGTCTGGTAGTGCATTTGCTACAATATTTTGTCTTGTGATAAATAAAATGAATATGGTTAAACAAATTTGGATTTTTAAAGAAAAAATGTACATAAAACAATCAGTTAAATTATTTTTTTCGTTTGAGAAAAAAAATCAATAGAAGTTGATTTGTAAATTGCTGAGATCATTATATGATTTGAATTAAGCTCTTACATAGTGACATCTGAAGTTTGATGAGTTCAGAAAAACACAAGAATATACATGAATAAGATAAATAATGAAATCTTTAATCTAGTATTCTACTTGAATAACATGCTAATGTTGGCAAAGAATTAATTTGACGTTGATTGATGCAATAATCAACTGAGATTTCTATTAAAGATGAAAGATTTAGAGAAGTCCAATAGAATATTAAGGATGACCATTAATGGAAATTTGGAAAAATAAAGATTATGGTTGAGTTAAGTCAAGTTAGTTTAATGTTTAACATGTGCTTGACAAGTTTAACATTGCATATTACTTAAAAAATATGTCATGTTAACAAAATATGTATTACTTCAACAACACACTTCAAATTTTTTTCACTTCAATACCCATACGATGTCATTGAGAAGAAAGATGTTATTGATTTTTTATGACAAAATTAGACACACTCACGTATTTGATAATGTGCACAAGATTTGATATTGCTTTAGTTATGAACAAGATGAACATGTACATATCAAATCCATAAAGGTGCATTAAGAAGTAGTGAAATGAATTCTCAAGTACATAAAATTTATAGAAAATTATGGTTTATTTTTTGATGGTTAATTAAACAATACCAAATCTTTACTATGTTACGATGACATTAACTATTTACAAGATACAAACAATAAAAAATCTACATATTGATATGTAATTACACTTGGTTATAGATGCATTAGTCAAACCTCTATCTTGCAAAATCGATCAGTTCAATCTACAATAAAAGTTGAGCATGTAATACACAAAATTAGCAACAAATGAAGTTATTTTGCTGAATAGTTCATAGCTTAAATGGAATTGAAATAGTAGGTTGTCAATTTTCACTATGATTACCAAAGTGCATTATATCTTGCTTCAAATCAAGTGCGGATAGTAGAGTGAAACACATCAATATCAAATATCACTTTGTTAGACATAAAATTTCTGATAAAAGCATTGCAATTATCAAAATTGACAATAAATAATTTAATTTTTTGATGCAATAATCATTATTATTTTTGAAATTTAATAGCAATTTTAATTAATTCTCTATATATTTAGTTTATCATGTTTTGGCTAAGATTTAATTTTAGTTGATTCTAAACAAATCTTGAAACAAATCTTGTCTTAGATTTCTTTCTACAACTTTTTGCATATATCGTTATATAGGTTATTAAGATTATTATCTCGACATAATTTAAGGGAGAGATTGTTAGGAATAACTTTTCTCATGGATGTTGTTGATTGTTGGTTGTGTTAATTGAAGACACTCGTTAGGATTTGAGTCTGTGTCGTGTTGATTACTAAAAGTAACAGAATCTATCTTATTGCATTGAACATTACACAAATCTTTTTTGGTGTGATTTTGTGGAGTAAATCTCAGAACAATTTCAATTTTCTGTTTATTTTTATTTCTGGTTTTTTTTTTTGTAAAAATTATCATCATAAGACTTAAAATTAAATTCTTTTGATGCGATTATAAATGCTCATGTTCAAATCAATTGCTTTTATCTTCAAAGGTAGCATTATTTCTTCTTGTATATGCAATAATCACTTGAAATTTTATGCTCATGTCAAAACTCATAAACAAGTTTATATTTAAAACTACCATGATCAAAAGTTTTGTGTATTAGATTATTAAAGCAACTTTTAAACTTATGTGAAATACAAAACATGCAAACTTTGTTCATCAAACAATTTCAAGATGACCAATAAGCCAAATTGTTCAAAAGAAAAGCAGATCAATTTTAATTCTTTTTGCTTTAACAAATGTATTAACTTAAATCCAAGATATTTTTCAACTAATTGATACAATACAACCATGTAGATTACATAGCCAATTTTTTGTACTTAATGATTTTTAGATGTCATTGATTCTCTATAATTTGTAAAATTTATGAAAGATTTTACAATCCAAATATCAATGATTAATCAGAATTTTTCAACATGATACTGTATCTAATAATTTTGAATAGATTTTTGTTATTAAATCAACAATTCTGAATTCACGAATTTATTGTAGGCAATCATGCAGGATGAGAAAGATTTTCAATTTTAGCAGATTGTGTAGTATATTTTATGATCGGAGTCTAGAAGAGATTGTCTCCACAACTGAGGTGATTCTTTGAGTGATCATGTGATATGAAAAAGTTTTTAACTTGATAGCTTAGACATCGTACTCTCACCAGTCTATTATATCCATGGTGATGCTATTGCGTCTAGCCAGATCCTTACCCACTGGGTTACTCCCTACATGACTTTACTGTCCTTTTTACTATATCTATTGGTTTCTCCTCAAAAGTGTATGACGCGGGTTACGAGATAACTTGGGTTGAGACTGCTGCGATCTCTTCGTGACCTCCCCCAGCAGTTGTCATCATCTTCAACTGCAGATTTGATGGAGACCCCATTCTGTTTCTCATAACATTGGGGAACGATGTAATTTTCTTTAACTTTAAGGAACTTTGAGCATACACCATTCCTTCATCCATCCATCAACTTGGAAATGCACATCAAGCTGTCGGTGAGAGTGATGGGAGTTCCACAAGTCTGAACCGGCCAGGTGATCGGCCATTGTACTTGTTTCGACGGGGACTTTAGCATAAGAATTAATCTTCAGCTCACTGTGCAAGAAATCTTCGTTCACAGACTTTTTTTTCAACTTCATGATCGCCGGTCGTACCTGACAAATGTGGCATGGGTACGTAATGTTTCTCTTTCAATAATGTCACTTTTGTTTCTCAATAGTTGCCGTCTGTCAGCAGCCATCTGAGAAGTTTGAACGTTGTTGCGTAAATAACCTGGGAAGTTCTGTGCCTCTACTTTACTCAGCATAATTCCTCAGTCTCACTACAGCACAATCTGCGACAGATATTCATTCTATCGCTTTCGTAAAGCCCTGTATTCAGATGTAGAGGTTTCAGTGAGAATCTCATTACCTATTCGTGCAGTCAGTCGATCAAAAAGCATCAAACAAATTTTGTTTCAACGACACGGATAACAAACCCTGTCGCTCGCCAGAGATGGTTAATTAGTTTTAAGATGTAAAGATCCTTGCAGAAATATCTTCGTGCCTTGTGTACGCCTCGGTTTCCACTGCGTCAGCTCAAAAAGGACATGGACGCAGACTTGCGTCATGTGATCGTTCTTTGGCTTCCATGTTCGGTATTTTGCTTACACTCGCTGTACTTTGATCAGCTGCTCTGCTCCACGTTAAGGCAACTCCATTACTTCAGATTGAGAGAGAGTACATCATGGTGCGCTCACAGGGCAAGTTTGGTTCGAAGCCAACTGGACCAAATCTTTCAAGTTAAATGTGTACGATACCGATTCTGCACGTGTGATGATCGGCAATATTCTGTGAAGGCTTGCACTGGCAGCTGGTTTAGAGCAGCGCTCCTGCGACACTTCCGACTTTCTGATTGTCGATGCCACTTCTTACATCCTTCCGACCTCATTCCTTGCGTGTTATGCACGAAGGCATACAACACGGCCGGGAAAAAACAATACAGTATGAAAGAACAGGCACATGCATGATCATCGATACTAGTACCGGTAGTGTCACAAAGGTGACGCCGAGGCCCCTTTTGTTTGCTACATCCGACTGCATCAGGACAGCTGAAGTGAGTTCAGTCGGAAACAATGGCGGACACGATGAAACCGACTGGCGGTAATAACGTCACTGAAATAATCCATCATAACTGATAACCGGTACAAGTATATATCTTGCGAGTGCTTCCTCGTCTCAACTTAAGTTCTTCAGATCACGAGAGATTGGAAGGAGTTTCGGCCATCTTTCGGGGAAAGGCTTCAGTGTCCACTTCACGCGTTCCTCATCAAAAATGTCCACAACCCTGTCATCTCCTGTCTAGTTGGCAGCAAGCATCTCTGGAGAGTCTTTTATCCAGATCTTTAACTTCAATTTGCTCTGATCTCTGGGGCTTCCCATCCTGACCCAGACATTAGCTACACCACATGACGAGACTCTGTTCATATTCACTGAGTCAATAAAAGCCCTTATTCCTACAGTCCAGAGTCAAAACTGTACGCCTGGATAGAGTTTTCTGTCTCTGGGCTGCTTATCGATTGATTTGCGATCAAGCAAAGGGCGAATTAGTAAGAATAATCTACAGCCTTCTTTCACGCCGCTTTCTATGGAATGACTTCCACGACTAAAGAACTAAAGTGCCTTCAAACCACGCGCCCGAATTGCGTGCCTTTCCCAGTTTTGAGAATTTCTCTCTATACCTCTGCACTACTCAACTTCCAACACCACTTTCCCGACTGTTTTTTTCCCTTCTCTTGCTTTGTGTGCTTCTGCTGCTTCGGCTAGTGGGAAGGTCTTGCCAACGGGTACTTTTAAAGACCCTTCTTTAGCCAGACGTGCTATCTCTTCCAACGCTTCAGCATCAGTCCTCATCACAGTCCACCAGTATTCTGCCATACATGTTGCATAACAGTTGTGAGTAGAGTTCAAATTTGACCTGAAACACGTGCGTAAGAGCAGCAACATAACAGGCCTCTCACGGGTTCGTGGGGTAAATAAAACGGTCAGGCAAGTTCTTCGGGGCAATTCATTCCACATTCTAGCATGCATGAAAAAGAAGAAAAATCCGTGTTAAATTACAATCAAAAGAAATATGGCTCACAGGATAGAAGTATATGGTAAGAAATTAGGAATCAAACCGTTTGCTCAAGCAATACTGCCCTAGAAAGAGTCATATAGAAGATATGAAAGTGGCAGATTTGGAAGTCATCGCAACTAGCAAACAGAACAGTAGAGACAAACTATGATTCATAATTAGAAAATCTGAGGATGTCACTTGTTTCACATACCTATTCCGTGTGATTGTTTATACTGCACTTGCTTTTGAACCAATTTTGCGGCTGCAGCAGCACCACCGGCAAGGAGGCCGTACTTGTCAGCCATTGACACGATCTCACCCTGTAATCATAACCGCCATCCAACAAAAAGTCAACATGTGTACAAACAAGATAGAATAGGAAGTAGAGCTCGATTTAAAAAATTCCAGATCGCTCATTATTCTACAACTTTTATCGACACGGTAAAGCAAGGAAATGCGGTGTCGTAAGACAGTCGATGGGTTTCTTTCTCTGACGTTCAATCCTATTTCTTGTATTTTCTTGTAATCCGCTCTATGCTGTCTTCCTTCATAATAGAAAACTAAAGTTCGAAATCGATCCTTTCTGAATAATGCTAGTAAAAGATCACGAGCCTGCTGCGGAGTATTTGAGCGACTTTTATAAACGATGTTTTGCTTTGCATATACACTTTGAATGTTTCCATTACCTGCAAAGTGAGGTAATGGCCGCCTTTCCTGAGCACGTTAATACCCAGAGACTCGGTCTCTGGCATTCCAATTGTATCCAAAACGGCATCAAATCGATCCTTCAGTTGCTCTCTAATGTTCTGGAAATCACTAAACACACATCATCCGAGCCCTGTCAATGTTAAGGTTTGTGTGCTAAAAAGGCAAAACGGAGCATAACAAAACTTCTTCAATTTATTATCTGATCAGAACAGTTTCATTCACACTAGTTTCATTCGACAAGCAATATTGATATAAGATACCCATTGATTTGTTCAGAAAAAATTACCTCTGAGGTGTAGTCCACAGCTTGTTGAGCACCAGCCTCCATGACCCTCTCCACGCTTTTCTTTCCACATGTTACTGAAACATGACATCCAGCTGCCTTGGCTAGATAAGTAGCTGCAAGTCCGACGGCACCTCCGCCACCAATTACAAGTACCTTCTGCCTGCACATGGTGAGACATTCACTTGAGCTTAAAAGCGCCAGGAAACTCTTGAGGGCAATTCCGACAGTCCAAGTATCTCCATCAATATCTTTCGTTCTAATAATAAAGACACTGCGACAGAATCCTCGAGGCATTCATTCGCTCTTTGTATAAGATTAAGATTTTCCGGACCACTAACGTTAACCGACTTTATTCGATCAACACTCAGTATCACTAAGAATGAATACTCAGTAAGACGTAACAGTATGAAACCTGTCTATACTGTGAAAACTGTCGGTCTTTCAGTTATGGAACATGTTATTTTCGAAAAGTTCATGCGTTGAGTAAAATGTGAAACGAGGTAATCCATAACACCAATGAATCTACATGGCACTTTACAACAATATTCCATATTGCATACCCATTCTGGATTCGGGCAGTGCTTCTAAGGGCTCGCCATGCTGTTAGCGCGGCAAAGGGTATGGCAGCCGCATCCTATGTTGCACATTCAATGTGGAAATAAATCAGTTCCTCTTGCAAAAAAACCATCCAAACTCAACAACACATGAGCGCCCAAGAAATCATAACACCTCCAACAAATCATACATGAGAATCACTAAACATTCCTGACTCGGTCAGGTCTTAGAGTCAACACATCTCATTACTATTCGCTAGAGTTCCCAATTGCTTGTTCTGTCTCTAACCAGCGAAGAAGCTTACCACGTGAGATAAGGATGCGGGCTTCGCTGTAAGCTGCTCCTCTGCAAGTATCGCATAATTACTGTACGTTCCCCGTATTGCTGTGGGATGCAGGGCTCCAAAAACCTCCTGCCCTACCTGCAATTGCCTGACTCCACTCCCCACAGCTGAAATTTCTCCACTTACATCCCTTCCGAGCACAATGGGAAGCAAAGGCTGGAACAAAGATTTGCCGTATCCACCTCGCATCTGACAAAGGGAAAAACCAGTCGTAAGTATGATGACTGCATTATTTCAAACATAAACAACAGAATTTCAAATTCAAGAAATCGATCCCTGCTTTGCTTGTATTTAACAAACTACAATAAAAAAGTAACAACACAAAACGACCCACCAAATAGCACCCTCAGTGTATCTGAGCTAAAATAGGGTTCATCAATCATTTCTAAACTCCACCCGAACACAAGTAGGGCCATTTTAGGTTTTGATGACAGACAAATGGAGAACTCTGACAATCCTGTTTACAATCTCCAAACGTTCAATGTGTCTGTCACTGGATCTAATTGCAAATTGAAAGCAAATTGGTAAACCCTCGGCGGTGGATTGCCACCAAACTTAAAACCCCTTTTTGATAAAACGCAAACTTTGAAAGTCATATGCACGGAGTGTAAACTTAAAGTGAATCTGATCCACCCAAAAAGTTTTCTTCATTAACAATTGCATGGACAAACTTACGCGGATGTCGAGCGGATTCACAGACACAGCTCGAGCTCTGACTAGGACATCGTTAGGTCCGAGATCAGGCAAAGCCACCCCATTTCGGTACTCCATCACCTCTGGACCACCAAATCGACGAACAAGCACGGCCGTGCATGTTGACAAACCTCGAAATGAACCAATACAAGCTTGAGCTGGTAATGCCTCGACGGACCTAAACATTTGCACCGATTGACGACGCATCTTCGCAAATTTATCCCAGTACTTTCTATCCTTTCAAATGTCTACCTCATCCCTTTGAGAGACACTCATGTCAGCTAGAAAACAGTAACAATGTAGCCCTTGTAGTTGTCAAAATCCCTTCCTACCATCAACATTCCCAGCTCACCAAACAGATCCCGAACCCTCGTCAGCTGCTGGCGAAAATTGCAGCTCAAATGCTCGTCTACATCACAATCTTACAATCGTCCAATTCCAAGGTAGGTAAAACAAGACAATGGGCAGAACCCGAGCTCGGCTGACAATGGCATGCACAAACATCCGGGGACTGCTCGGAAAGATTGTATACTTTGCTCCAGAGAGCAGAGTCAGATTCAGGCACAGAATGAAACAGGAGAGCTCAAGAACACGAGTTGGGCTTACGCCGCCATAGCCAGTTCCAACCCTTTTCCGACAAACTTCGCTTCCTTGCTGGACTGCTCCGCTTGAGGGCACGTGGCGATACCCTTATTGCCCACGTGCACAGGTGAGACTCACTGATTGGCTAGGTCAATTCAGCATTTCTAAAGCAAAAGGCAGAAAATCAAATTTTATGAAGCAAACGGGCTGAACAGGATAGGCCACAGAAGGTTAGTGCATTGGGGATGGTTTTTCATAGTATACGGGACTCATTACTTAAACGGTGTAACATTGTTGGTTAGAGTTAACATGTTGAGAATTGCGCGGAGATATTTCATTGAAGCTTTTGTACTAGGGCTTGAGTAAATCCTTTCAAATCTGACACAAGGATCGGGTTTCTCTCCGCATCATCCCATGTCATTACACAGTTCTATATTAATATAGTTGGACATTTATAATAAAATATATGAATTATATAAGAAATATTCATATATTATTGTATTGATATCAATGAGTTTATATTTTTCATGTTTTAAATATTTTATTGGAATAAAAAATAAATCCATTTTTTTCTATCATTAAAATTTTTATATTATATGTTTTAATAATTTTTATATTTTATAATAATTTTTTATTATATAATACTTTTTAGTTCAAATTAATAATTTTGCCTATGTATAACTAAAATTTTTATTCATTCACATGATACAAATTGTAGGATTAAGATAAAAAAAAATGAATGATACCATGTTTCATTTTTTATCGCATATTATTAATTAAAATAATGTAATCACTAATAAAGTTTTTTATATCAGTACAAAACATGTGATTGCATGTCAAACTTTGTGTATGTATATTGAACATCCAAAATGTGAGATGGTTTATATTGACTGCATAATACACCATATATTTTCTCAATAGGAAAAAGGTCATAATTATATATAGTATATTATATTTTTCTTCTTATTTAATCTTACAAGTATTAATTCAGGTGTCAACTCAACTCAAGTAGCTTAACCCTAGTTAGAGTTAGGTTGCTGTTCACTCTGAAGGAGAGCTAGCCTGAGGTTTAATTGATTACGACTTTTATGAATAAGGGTTTATGTTGTTTCCGTGTTCCGGAAATGGCAAGTCACTTACTTCAATTTTGTGTATTCTCGTCTCGATGTTTCAGTGTGTTTGAAATCTTTGTGTATCGTGTGTGTATTTGTGTGTTCAGGAATTTTTTGTGAAACCTGCACATAAAAAACTCCACAAAAAGTACATTTTTTATATTAGATAAATACAAATATTAGATAATATTTATGATGATAACTATTTTAATATGTTTTATTGTAAAATAATGTGACATAAGTATTTATTAAATATTCTTTCAAACTAAATTTAATTTTGATGCAAAATTATGTGTTATCACAACGTTATTTCATAATAAAAAATTTCAACAGCTTTTCTATTTTGAATAATTAAAACTCAAAGCATCCTTGAAGTTTAAATTTTATTGCTCTTTTAGATTATTTGAATTTCTACAAAAAGAAATATATTCATCATCATCTTTGAAATTCATTATATAAAAAAATATTTTACCAAATTGATGGGATGATTAATCAAAGTTCATCACATATAAACCAAATTAGCTTTAATATTTTATATCTCGGTCATTCAACGTAGTTCAATAAACTGACCAAGTATTAAATTAAAAACCTTAAAAAATTATAAATCTAGTTTTTCAAACAATGCCATAATTATAAATCTTATTGTTTCTTCTAATAAAAACCATACTTGCTTGTATTTTTGTAACTTGTAAAAGATATATACCAAAAAAAGTAGTTGATTTTTTTTTTATCTCTAATTGAAACAAAATTAATTTATATCAAAAAATCATGTATTATCAAAATTATCTCTTATCAAAATTTGATTTTATTCATTTAAAAAAATCAAAAATACCCTCTAGGATATAATAATGCATGAAAAAAATGATGTATATAAAGCAATTCTAAATTCCCGATTGACTTATGTATTATATCATTATACACTTAGTAAAAATAATTCAAAATTTTATGTGAATTTCTTTGGAGCTCATCATATGTTCGCCAAAATTATAATAAGATTAATTATCTTTGAAATATCAAAAATCTTATTTTCATAAGAATATTAAAATCTATAATTAAAATATTTTAATTTTATAAAAGGGTTGTTATTCTCAAGAAACGATTTCATACATGCAGATGAAAATCTATGACAACATTCGATGTGAGTTTATCATCACGTATGCATGTAAGTCATTCAATAAATATATACTTTCCTACATTTTTGTTGTGATTGAAAACTTAGAACACGCATGACATTTTCAATACATGAAAAAATATGAATATTGTAGTACATCATTAGAGTATCTGATTTGGCCTTATAAATGATGAATATGATATAAAATATTGCATTTTTAACAACATTAGAAGATCCTATTGGACTATTACGATACATCAAATAGGAAGAATGTATAAATAATGATGTAATATCAACATCTTTGAGAGATGCATGGCGATGAATTGACATCTCTACATATCTTGCTTTTGCAAATCAACACCAAGTAATGAATTGTATTCGACAAAAGGGCTCAATCACTAGAATCCAATACCAACTAGTGAGTTTTGTAGATTTTTCTAGAGACATGAATAAACAAAGAATGCGTTCATATAATTTTATATCAACACACTTTGTGACATCCTACTAAGTTCATATGCCCCTTGCTAATATGAATCCATCTACTGACCAAACCTTGTAAGTTTCGTAATTAGATGTTCAGATTTCAAGGTAAACATCAATATTGTTGAAAATATAGAAGCTATCAAAATACTGTTTGGTTTTCACAAAATATGTATGACGTTTACCTTTATAAAAATAGTGATATCTCCAACATTAGAAAATTTTGGCTAAGAAAATACAAGTATGCATATGAATGTCCTTGCCATCTTTGACTTTATGTTGAATGCACAATGATTCAACCTACGTGCTAACTATTCAAGTTATCTTTATCTTTGTAACAAGTCATTTGGAAGCCAAGGTTGAATAATTTAGTGCTTCAAATAATCTGAATATGATATAAATAATAGGATGTGATGCTCTTGTAGTAATATGACATGCTAACCTATACTGTATGTATAAACTTGCATAACAAAATAGGAACAGCATGTGGATTTGTTATTCCTCTGTTTCTAAGTTGTGCTTCGTGAGTAGCAACTCGAGCGAGCATTTGTCCAAATTGTAATGGCTGTTTTGTCTTCTGAGTTGGCAAAACGCCAAGTTAATTTTTCTTAGTATCTACAAAAAAAATAACATGTTGTTACTCTCACATCTCAATTTTGCCCCGAGTAGCGTGATGCACCCTTACAGCCACTAAAATGACCTAAAGTGCTTAGGAGTAGCTTTGACATTGAATCCATAGATGTCAAGCCTGTGACAAGTTAACTCAGATGATATTTAAGTCTAGTCAGTGTAACTACAATCAATTAGACTAATTAACCTGCTATATAAAAGAGCGGGTCGAATGTCTTCGTGACATAAACTTATAGTTCTAATAAACTATTGTAGTGTTCCTATACACAAACATTTTTTTTTTTTTTGCGTGTGTTGATTTTGATGCATAGATGAGGTTGAGTGACTATGCTTATACTCCTACAATGGAAACAAAACGACACGTCAAAGGAAATGAAATGGGAATATACTAGTCACACAATAAGCTACAGAAAAAGGGATGGAAAAAAATGGAAAAACTATCGAATACAAAGCCGAAATCAAATAGGAATAAAATTGGACGGACGGACGAACGTGGAAAGCAGTTGGTGCATCTCGACAAGGTTCCGGTAAAAGATAAGGCAATAAATACTACCGCAGATTCAACGCCAAATGCATATTCCTATGACTAGGGAAGAGAGGTCGGATAAATAAGCAGAGCTGAGAAAGCATCCAAGGGCAGGAAATAACTCGTACACAGCTGTGACAGATTTTAACAGCAGTCTGGAGTCTCGACCGTACCTGATTGGTAGAGAGAACGAACTCTACGTGTAAGTCAACTTCTGAGCTCGAGTTTTTCGTCTTACGAAGTTGGATTCAGTGCAGAAAGGTGATTGGATCGGATTGGACTGGATTGGATTGGATGGGATTAAATTAAACTGGAATGGAGTGGAGACGAGTAGTTAGTTGGACATCTATATAACAAAGATCTGCTTTGGAACTGGGAGCATGTCAACATTGACAATCTGGTTGTAAGTCTGGTGATGGCGGTCTTCAAGAAGTCTATAAAAATGTTGTCAAGGTAGCAAGTGCGTGCACGCACGCACAGAGCTTGGCCAAGTCGTACGTGGTCAGTCCGCAACTCCGTACGTCGCTATAGCAGTCAGTCAGTGGGCCACGATCGAAGGAGCTCAAGCAAGTGGCTCCATTGACATTGTTACCTCAATTTGCAGTGGACACTTGAACCTCCGAGCTCGGAAATACAGTTTGGATTACATCCAACGCGTCTGCAGAAGGTGCCACCCAAATGTCGGCAAACTCCAGAAGCAAATCACATTTTTACGTTGGTAGTGGAATTGGAATTGAAATTGGAACTGCGACTGCAACTCGATCTACTTATCTACTTCATTTCTCCTCACCTCCAAGCTCATTTGATACTTACTTACGTCTTACTTTGGTATTGGAATTGGATTTGGACCTACGACTGCAATTCAATCTACTTATCTACTTCATTACTCCTGTCTCCCTAGCTCATTTGATAGCTACTTAGATTGAAGGAATGGAGTGTGCGGGGGAGAGGAGCGAGGAGGCCCAAGTGGATCCGTAGGAGGCGTGCTGTATTACGGGGACATTAATTAAAGAAGAGTGAGCGCTAATTATGAAAGAGTGAGCGCTAATTCGTCAGTAGTGGATGTCGGATGAGACGAGAAGAAGGCGATCGAGGTCAGCCCCGTGCGACAGAAGGTGACCCAGCGGCAGCGGAGTGCTTTTTGGCAGAGGCGATGGAATATTCGCGCGGATGTTGACAAATTACTTGGAGGTCCGAGGGACGGGGAGAGGGAGAGCTTGCGAGCGTGAAAGAGAGCGAGCTGGATGCACTGGATGCGGAGGCTATGCTCCTGGTTGCGCTCTTCCATTTTGCTGTTCACCGAGGGAGGCATTTGTTGTCGAAAGGAGGGGAGGTAGGAAGGAAGGCAGGGGTCGTGCTGTCGAGCATGTCTATATCGAGTGCTTGCGGCAGCTGCTGATTTGATTTTTGTTTCACGTCGTGGACTGTCTTGAATTCAAAAGCTTCGGTCGGGAGAATCTCACGTCACCAATCAATCCACAATCTGCGAGGTTTGCTCCTTTTCTCCTGTCTGTCGAACGACTGTGCTTTTCAGCTGATTCACCTCTCATTGCTGTAAGATCTCAGAGATTATTCTTTCCGAATTCGCCAACAAACCGTGTGTACACGATCGTTAAGAGCTGCTTGGTCTGCCGGAAAGCATCCAGGGAACCTGGAATCGTAGCTCTCAGTTTTCCTTCTCTGGAATGTGCACAGCAGCCATGACGGAAGCAAAAATTTGCGGTACAGTCTCGAACAGGAGGAGATTAATTTTCTCTAAAGTCTGAGGCGGGTTACTTCGATAGTAAACTTCTCCTTAGGATTGTCGATGTATGTGCACTTGTGGCATGTGACCTAGAGGTGTGTGTCCTCTGACACACACTGTTGGACTAGAGCTGCAATTGTGATGTAAGACTGCCTCCTGTGGAACTTCAGCGTGTCGGTTGATATTAAATGGAAAATCTGTACATTAGTCCACCTGGAAGGGAGGGGGAATCATGGAATTCTTGAACTAAGCAGTCAAAGTTTCTGGACAAAACTATCCTCTGGCCGAGGGGCCTACGGCTTTACAAGCGAATAATCACTTATGATTCGAAGTTGATGCAGAGCAAAAGTATCGATATCATCTAGGCTAGGTTGCAGATGGGCAGCCTCCTCACAGTAAAACATAGTATCCACGGAGGTTCTGTGCTAGAATTCGTCACAGATTTAAAACGTAGTACCCACTTGCGATGAAGAATATCGTCTGAGAAGTTTGAATATGCCCCACAAACACTGCTCAAGTTTCCAAGTTCGTCTTTTTGTTCTCACATGTAGTAACTGGCCGAATGTTGTGCCCAGTGTCTATCTTAATATTTAGTTTAGCAACCTGTAGTAATGTGTTGGAGAAACCGTGCTGCATTTGTGAAGACCGCGATTCACTCAAGAAGGGCAACGAAGATTCTGTGTACTTCCTGCCATGGTGGAGCCCTAACACGAGTTATCGGAGTCATGCATTGAGAAGCTTCACCGTCTGAAGCCATAAAACATTGATACGGGAGGAGTCATACAATGTGGGAGGCTGTTGTTTTTACCGTGGTGGCATCGGCCGGCAACAACATTGGAAAGGTGCTACAGAAGCAGGGCACTAAGGGCTTGCCACAGTTGACCCTCAAGTTGAAGGTAGAGTCTGGTGTGATATCCTCTGCACTTGGTTCTTACTGTGTAGTTATGTAGCTGCACCATGCTTTGGACCTCTGGTTGCTGAATTGCAGTGCTGGAATGTAGTTTCTTCTCGTGAATTCACCCATGAAATGAAGATAATTTCACATCAGTATGTTTAGACACTTCTAAACTTACTGATGTGTGTTTCAAAGTGTATGAAGGAAACCTTGGAGCAAAGGAGGAAGCATATATATTCATGATGTCTTTCACAGCTGTTTTTGATTTTTGTGTGGTGGGGAGCTAGCTGCGGTATGTTGAAATATCAAACTGATGAGCTTGAATCACGAGCAGGTGATACGGGCCTATCTTATCAGTCGAACATGGATTACTGGTGTTGCCGTGGACATTCTAGGAGGCCTTCTGATGCTCAAAGCTGTCTCACAGGCGCCTGTAAGCTACTTATTGAGTTGAAACCAGTTTATTTTCGATGTTTCTGCGGACAGCATTCCTGTAATTCAACACTATTGCCGGGCAAAATTATTGATGAACATTATGAAGTTCAAGGGTGTTATTTTCTAGGAGTGCTAGAAAGGACTGGCACAATATGGATTGGGGCTTTAAATTATCCAAAGAAAATGCAGGTTTGGATTTTTGTAGTCTCTGCGATTTACAGATTTCAAACTATTACACAACATGTCTTGACTAATTTTTAACTTCCTTTGGTGTTAGGTTTCAGTTGTACAACCTGTATCTGGGGTTGGCTTGGCGGTACTTGCCGTTTTTTCGCACTTCTATTTGCGAGAGTCTATGCAAACATTAGATTGGGTGGCAGTCGCAATGGCAGCTGCAGGGACTATAGGTAATCAAACCGTCGCACATAAGAAGTCATCACTTTCCAGCTTGGAGCAAAAGCACTGCTGAGTGTATGCCTCGATCGTTTACCCGCTCATCGTAAATCGGTCTTAAGTAAAAATGCGAGTTTTGCTTGTCGTCTGGATAATATGGAGAACATGTTGAAGCCCTTTGACGAGAGGATTGTGCAATTGTTACTAGTGGTGATTAGTTTGTAACTATACAGCGTCGCGGATTGCAAACGCATTTAACGGCACCAAATACTTGTTTCTTTTTATCTCTGTACATTATGTCACAGGTGTTGGGATAACCGGAGAGGAGCAAAAGAATGTCGAAGTTTCATTAACTCGCCTTCTCCTCTTTTTGATTTGTCTGCTCCTTTTTTTTGTAAGTCCATTTGCATTATCTGCAGCATTTGATGTAATTTATATCTTCCTGTTTTCTTTTGGAGAAGGCATTTCTTGAGACCTTACCAGCAGAGAAGATTTCACACTCTATTCTTTTCACTTTTCCTACGTTTTTGTTTACAATTTGCAAATTGGCAGGTGATATTGCACATCTGGACCAGTTCAGGGAAACAACGTCGGAAAACCCATGATGATCCAGGTTCTCCTGTATCCAGCATGTCTGGGGTATGTCTTCTTTATCCAATTATCGTAATATTCTTTTGCTTTTGTCAACCTGTTTCTAACTAGAAGCAATTTCGTCTGCACGTTCCAACAGACTTAGTCAGATGCTTTCAAGGTTTCTGAGAAGATGCATTCTTAGAGTTCTATATTCGATGTACTGTTCTTGAAGTAAATCTTTGTTCCTTATATTCCCAGGGTCACGTGGAGGTGATGGAAGAAATTGCTGCGGGTTTGCAGGCAGGTGCCTTTTTTGGGTCAGTCCTTCGTTGATCCACTTATTTTTCTTTCAGTCCTTAGTGATGTGTATTTCAGTGTGAATCATGTGAATTGAACCTTTATGTATGGATAAGTAGGTATGTCCTTCACCAGTGCTGCCTAGAGTTCTTTGCCCATTATTGGTGTCAGGGACGTTTTGCATGTCGATGTCATACTCTCTTGCTGTTTGTGTAAACTTTGTCCTTTGACTTGGTTTGAGAAGATAAAGAAAGTTCATCATGGACTCGCTTTGAACCCTTCTCAGTCCCCTTTTGAGAACTCTAAACACGCAACGCAGGTCATAATTATTGAGTTGAGATCTAATGTTTATTCAATAGCACTGGACTGGTGATATAGTGTTTGGATTGCTTCAGATGCACGGAAAACTTTGTCTTGATACTGGAGTTAATCATTGTTTACGTGCAGATTGTCTGCTGTTGTTTGCAAACTGGGGTTCCTACTGGCGGAGCAGGACGTGTCAACTCTTTGTATACCTGCCGGACTAGTCGGTAGTGTAGGGTGCAGTACAGCTGGATTTTTCTGCCAGGTAGTTCTTGGGACGGTTCTCTCAATACATGTCTTATTCTGAGATCGTGGAAAACTCATAAGAACTTTATTAGATCCCTTAAGAAGATGTAAATGATCTACCTAAAATTTTCGTCTTCAGTTCCAGCTTCCTTTTGTATATCGTGAAGATTTTCTCATGAAATATCTACTCACAGACGAAGGGCCTGAAGGATGGAAGGGCGGTGGTGGTGTCTACATGTGCAGCTGTTGCATCCATTGTAACTGGAGTGCTAGTGGGCTTTCTGGCCCTGGGCGAGTCGTTGCCAGTTTCTCCACCTGCTCGGATTCTGCTGTGTTTGGGATGGTAAGTCTTCTTTGCTCTCCCTCAATCTACATGTTTGTAGTTTGTCAGAATGTTGTCCAGTATATATAATTCTTACATACTCAGGCTTCTTAGATATCATACTCGTAGTATACATTGGTGACAAATTACATTTATCAACATAGATACTCGCTAATTGCGGGGCATCCACTGTGTCTTTCATGGTTGCTTTTCGAATTTTCTTACTCAGTTTCTCCATAAATTCCACTCTTTCCGTGTATAGTTGTTCCGAGACTGCAGTCCTGCCATAAAAGTTTGGAATCAACCAATCAATCTTAATAAACGCTATACTATCTTTACTTAAGCTTTTCAGGAAAGTTTTTGTCGGGAGAATTTACAGAGACGCATTATTCAAAACGTTGGAAGCAGAAAATCAGAAGAAAAATTTGATCACGTTTGCCATGGAATTGAATCTCTTGATGGCGTTTTGAAAGATGGATATTTGGTTATAGTTTTTACATGCAACTAAAAAAGTAGCTAATAAATGAAAAACATATACCTTCAAACTTAATTCAATATTAGAAAAGTGAGGAATTTTGTACCAAACGAAAAGCAGGATAATCAAAAGCATTGAAGTTTATTTTCTTTTTTTTGTCAAACCCCTCCCCGTGCGCCAGAAAGCTTTGTTCCCTTCGCTTTTAGAGCAACCTTAGTGAAGGTAAGGAAGTATCTCTTTTACCTGCACTGGCGTAGTGTGAAATCACCGCATCTGAATGATGAGTGGTTGCAGGGTTTTGATCGTCGCGGGGATAATTTTGCTCTTGATGTCTGAGAAACTGGGGAGAATGTTGCCACGCTCAATGAGGCGGCTCATCAGGACGAAGTCAAGCGTACCTTCTCGATCAGCGTATGCACGAAGTGGCACCGCAACGATGCCCGTCGTAAACCCGCAGATGAAATCGCCTCCGAAGTACAGGTCTTGAGAGAGCAGGCATTTGCTTCTGCACTTGATAGCATAGCACCAGGGGCACAGTGTACAATTTTCAGATGGTAGAGCTCGGCAGGCGGAATACACGGGGCATAGCCACGCAAGATTCAGCGCTCGCGTGTGATCGACTATTGAAAAAAGACTCATTTCATGGGATCAGGTCCTGGAAGCTTCACCTTCTCCTCCGCATTCGTCTCACTTTAAGTTCCTGTCTCAGTCTCGACGTCTCCAGGAGGAGGTAATCATCATTGTTCATACTCGGGAAGTCAATCATTCTCTTGATTTCCAACAAGGTTAGGCCGCAATCAGCAGAATTACAGTCTTAAGCGGGATCCTCTTAGTTGTCCGTGTCGGAATTTAAACTGGTCCTAGGGTGTCCTATTTGAGTTTCAATTGTACTAGTGAATTCATCATCTGTCAGAGGCCTCCGGCATTAGCTAGGCTAGGTTGGTCCAATTAATCGGAAAGGGATCCGTTTCTGCCTTAGTACCAGATCTCAATATTTCTCTTCGAGTGTCAGAACGTCTCTTTCTCATGTTGCACAAATTGTATGAGCAATGCTTTCTCAATGACAGCACTGTTCTCTTAAGCAACATTCCCGTTGTGCACGTCAAGGTTTTGAGCGTGAATATGATTTGTTAGAGCTTTTCTTATTACAAGTATGTTGGCTGACGGATCTGGATGTTTGTAAGAGAACTCCTCTTTGTCAAAGGTTAAGGTCGAACTCATTGGACCTTGGTAGAGTTCTGTAGATTTCATGTTTTTAACTTTGGGATAGTGAAGAATATAGGGGCAGCGGTGTGAATGATGTTCCTTTTCTCTAGAAGCACTCGATAGTAAAGAGTCCCGGGTCCCGATGACCACGATCTGGATGCAACAGCGGACATGTACCTAAGTGTCAAACGTTTTGCACTTGTCTTCTAAACGTAAATATGGTCAACACTGCAACATATGCTCTTGAAGGAGCGAGGAATGTGATTGGAAAGAGAATGAGGTTCACTCTCTAATCACTCCAAACGTTGAATTCACTTGCCTCAGTGGTCTCCAAGTAAGGCGCTGTAGGACCAATAAGGAGGGAATATACCGAAGTGCGATGTTAGGGGCTGGAATGTAAAATTACGTTGAATGATCGTGCGTCAGAGTGGACGACATATACTAGCAAACGTTGAAAAAGTAACATACAAGTACACATGAAGCTGCTTCTTACATAACAGAATTTGTGATTGATTCAACAAAAAGTTAGGTTTAGTTCAGTCCAAGCCTTGGTGCACTTTTGAATTACGAAACGTGGAGCTGATTTAAGCCACGGCTTGTTTTGAGGGTGTCACCAGTCTTGGCGCCCCGTAAAATTAAATCCTAAACCCTTCAGCATCGGGGACATGGTATGTATCTGCGCCATTCAGGTGCGAAGTATCTCAAACTCAAACTTCGGATCAGCAAAATTGGGCATGGACATTTTACGACACAATTGGTATAGGTTTCTGAAATGGTCGTCAAGATTGTCTGACTACAGGATATGCCGTGCTTGTGAGAGAATGACAACCGTACACATGTTGGGGCTGGTTGTTTTACAGGTCGAATTGGCGAGACGTTCCGAGCTAAAACATTCTGTAGAGCTATACAATCTCGAATGGAAAAATCTAGACTGTCAGCTGGAACTATTGTAAGCCCCTCATGAACATATACGTAGGGAAAAAATGTACATGGTACTTGTAAATGTCAGTACAATCACCACTTGAGGATCCAGTTGGTGCAGTGCTGTAAACCAAGGGGAAGGGAAGGTACCATACATCTGCGGCATGGACGGAGCTCCTGGGTGGCTCCCCGGTGGTTCTTCCATTGAAACAGACACTGAACTGAAGTCATGTAAATAGCAACTGCAGCATAGAAAACTCTCGGTAGCAATTGAACTTCGTACTTTCAGAGAAACTACTCCCCGCCGTTGAGAATTTCACTAGGCCATTAGCCAAACTATCCAAAATCCTATATCTTGCTAGATTTTTCTCAGCGCTAAATAGGGCAAATGACATGGCTTTGGCAGCCTTGAATTCCTACTAGTCGGTCAAAGGAGATACCTTTTCCTTAACTACTGCGAGTACGATCTGCGATTGGCTCAATCTGTCGTGTAAATTCCGGAGCATTGTTAACTGTAATTTTGTGATCTGTAATCAGGGTGCCGAGGATTTCAAGTCCTCAATAACAAGACAGCTAGAATGTTGACTAGATTTCTTAGAAGACAAATCTTCAGATCTGTTCTCCTTCATTCTTACGTGACAAAAGCCGGATCACCTGGTTCCCTGTCGACAGAACAGGGTAACGCGCGTGTTGTCGATGGAGATCGTATGGATTATGTCATAGTGGGATGCCTTATAGACCTCTGTCCATCACTGTGGAGCATCCTGTGAAGTGGAATGTGCAGAATATGCTTAACATTCTGTCTACTATTTCCCTGATCTAGTCATGAGTGCAAATAGTGAAACCTTGGCTGAGTCACCTGTACATTTATTATCAGTTTGAAACAGCGGGCACAATGTCGAGACAGAACACTAAAACGTTGAATGAAACTCAAGAGGCTGTAAAGGGATATCAAAGCGTATAAGGAGAGTTCAAGGTAAGTAAGCACTACTACGGAAGAAAGAGATGTAAAATCTCCGATTAGACTCGTGCTTACGGCAAATGAGAACGACAGTACCTGAGATAATGTCTTGGACAAAAACATGGAAACGGAAAAGCATTCACGAGGTGTTTGGTCAACAGAGGGGTCATCATCGAAACATTCTGTAAGCCGAAGACAGAAGAGAACTATCATGGAGTTTAGAGCCTGAAATGTGTTACTACTGTTGTTGGTAGAGTATAACATAGGTCATAATTTGAGGAGAGCACTTTGCAAAACGTTAAAACAATCGAGGAGTGTCCAAAAAAGAAAGCCATTAGTTGTCCAGATTCATGCGCTGTTTCCGAATAATCACACCAGGTCCTGAGACGAGTATCGAGGCGATCGGGTGCTTTCGCTCACTCTATCCTCATGGACCCCTTTCCTATGTTTTCAGTGCTGATCTGTTCGACCTTTCCATCGATCTCGGATTGCCTTTTGGAAATTACGGCCTTCTTTTACTCCCTGATGTCGATAAACAGCATGTTATCGGTTCTTTAGCAAACTCCGCCATTCCCGCGTATTTGAGGCTCTGTAAGTTTGCCGGCCCCGCAGAGTTATGCTTCGTCGACGATTTACCCAGCTCCCTAACCAAGGCATCATGGTTAAGGCGAAGGTTTGATTTCAGTGTCTTCCGCAATACGAGGAGAGATCATAACGACCGGAAGCCATGCAGTCGTCGTAGACTTTTATTCCAGTGGACCTTTTGGGAGGTGACGATTCGAACCGGATCTTATCATATTGGATACCTTCTAATTGCGATGCTCGTAGATACAGTCCATCGAGCACGTCATATTTCGCCCGGAAGATGTAGAATGTCTAAACAGCAGACAGATAGATACCGTGGAGGAGTGGAACAACTATAATACAAAGACCGAAGCGTTTGCAGCCAAAGTTCATACAGATGAAATGTAAATTGGTAATACAGTATATGTTCAAGATCACGCCAAGCAGATTACCCTTACAAACCCGTCCTTTTTACACCAGTCGTCTCACTCTCAACCTTCCCGAGAGTGCTGATCAGCACTGATTCGAAATCAGCACTGATTCGAAAATAAATCTCTATCGTTATGGCCATAAGAGACGGAAGGTTGCATGTCGTGTGGTAGAGAAACTCTCATGCTGTTCATCGATGAAGTATATGTTGATTTTCGAAGTACATCCTAATTCACTTGATGAAAGGACATGAATCAATGTTCAAGAATCGAAATGAAGTTATTGCTGGGTCTGGATGATGTATTGCAGTAAAGAATCATTGAAACCTTATGACTTATACTTCGAAAGATTTTCATCGTAAATCATAAATTTATACAAAGAGTTTAGTTTATATGTTGATTTTCGAAGTACATCCTAGTCCACTTGATGGAAGAATCGAAAATATTAAGTGAAGTTATTGCTGGGTCTGGATGATATATTGAAAAAAACAATAGATGAAACCTTATGTTTATGTTAAATCATAAGATTATTCGAAGAGTTTAGTCACCCTAGTATAAGCTTTTTTCTGATTGGTCGAACACACTATTTTAGAAGTAGATGTTACTCATCCCAGACACCTTACATCTATCAATCAGAGAAGAGTATGGAGTAGAGTGAGTGCTAATTAAGCCTAAGTGAGCGATAACTAACCGCTCACTTTAAAATTTAGACTTTGAATGAGTTCAGTAGTATACTTAACAAGAGGGTAAACCCTCGTATGTTAAATTACACACTTCACATACGGGTATCGATGATCATCAACAGACATGTGAGAAATGAGTTTCTTGGGAATTACATTCTCACAGTCGTAAAGTGATGAGGACAAAATGCAGAGACATCAACGCGAACCTGCCTACAAGAAACCGCCGCAGAGTCTGTCAAGATGAGAGAAAAGCCATGACCTCGCCTGGCTCTGAGCTTCGGAAGGCAAGATTCCGAAGTTGGATTCCAGCACGAAAAGGGCCCCGAGGCGAATGAATGATAAGAACGGAAAGAAAAAGAAGGTGGCGGGGGAGGGAGGGGGAAGGAAGACGGAAGGCAAGCATGATGCACAGTACACGGTGCCGACGTACGTCCAGGTCAGACGTTAGCCAGCGGCGAGGTCTCAGCGTTCGCAAAGGTCCAGAAAAGATCCCGGAGCGAACGAAACATCGGCAGTGGAGTCGCAGAGCACATCCACGTGGACGGAAAGCAGGAGAGATGGCGGACACAGAGTCATGGGACCCTGGAAGGAAGTCCGTCAGGCCTGTGGATACGGTGGACTATCTGCTCCCCCTCCTGGAAAGGAGTGTACAGACAGACTCGTAATTGCATGGACACCACCACACCACCTAGCTTTTTGGAGGTGGATTGGAATTACAAGACATAGGAGCAGGCAGGCAGGGGAGGGGAGGGGAGGGATGGAGGCAGGGAGGGAGGAAGGGAGTGAGTGAGGGGTTTTCAACCGGAGGGAGTACTAGACTGGTAGTGTCTGGAGAAGGTGAGGTGACTGTCTGGCTGGCTCGCCGGCTGGCCGTCTGGCCTGGTCCTCACCTCTCAAATGCAGAGGAGGACGAGATGCGCTTGGGCTCATCTTCATCCGGACTCGGGCGAGGGCGAATCAATCAGAGGTTGAGAGGGAGAGGGAGAGGGAAAGGCAGCCAGCTAGCTGAGTGGAGATGGATTGATTGTTTGCTTGATTGATTTGAACGAACGAAGGCGCGAGTGAGGCGAGCGTTTGACAATCACAGGGTTGGTGGTGCGGCAAGGTGGTGGTGCGATCTTCTTTCTCTCACATGAGATTCATCTTCTCTCATTATAGTACTGGTCTGTTCGATCGTACCGTGTAATGAAGACTCGGACACACCCGCTCGGCTGAGTCCATTCCTCAGCCGCTGCGCTCTGGAGGAGGTGAGACTGTCGAGAGGCCGCCTCCTCTTCCTTGTCCGGCCACCATGAAAGGATGCATAGAAGAAGCAGACACCCAGAGAGAGAGAGGGAGAGAGAGAGAGAGGAACACGGTGATGATGAAAAGATGTCAGATTTTCGGTTGCCTTTGCTCTGAGAGATGTTGTGGGACCCTCGAGCAGGCTGCCCGTCAGACAGGCAGATGAGATTGTCCTCCTCCTTTCACTGGACGGAAAAGGCCGAAGGGATCCCCAACGAGCAGATAGTCAAGCGGTCAGCGTTGCACGTCTGCCGCGCACTGCACTCGAATTCTTTCGTTCTCGATAAATGAGCTCATGCTCATGTTCATGTTCATGTTGGGCTCGGAGCATGAGGGACCCGTGGTGACTTTCGTTTCTTCTTTCTTGGGTGGACCCTGCCCCGATATCACCTCACCTGGATCATCACGGCAGCACTTAAGTATGCCAATCTTTTCACCCGTTTAACGACAACGACATTGTCATCCGACGTCCGGTCGTTGCAGCTCGGGCGTGGGGATTTGAGACGTTCCATCTTACGTCGCAAATCCAATGTCCAACAATCGCACTACTGACTGGCTGCCGGGCAGATTTCCAGCAAGTTTCAATGGCCAACCGCATTTCTTACTTTGGGTCAGATTTGTGGAAAGATCCACAAATCCGACATCAGCAAAGGTGCATGAACGTAATAGTTGGATGATAGACGCTTACTTTCCTAACTCACCCAAAATCTTTATCACGACGAGGGCCACATGCCTCAAATCACTTCATGTACTTTTGGACGTCTTGCGATTGGAGGCTCGGGATTACCCTCTTCCGCACTACACCCACTTCTACTGCCCGTAAGACTGACCCGATTTGTTTGACCCAGATCGCTCCGCTGGTTGTTTGTCCAAAAGAGGATCTGATCATTCGACAGTTGATTGACGACTAATTTTTTGTTTGCAAGCTATCGGGCAAGCGCTCTTCTCGAAGCGCGGTGCGATTAACCTTCGTATTTCCGACACTTCACCGCACAGTTGTTTTCGCTTCGTGATAGGATTCTATTAACTCCTACAACGCGCCCAGAGATGGGAACACGGCTTCGGGCAGATCCACCAATGCACGCAATCTAGACAACTTCGGCCTAACTATCTGAATTCCCACCACCACTTTCGAGCATATCATGGTCTTGAGAGAGATTGTGTGAGTTAAACACCAGTGCGAATGTCAAGTCTTATTGGGACTGAGGGATGAACCTATTTAAAGGCGAGCTTAAATCGATTGAGACTCCCCGACGTGCCCATAGGCCTGGCCGTGGTGTTTGCTCAAACGCACGTCGGGTTTGGTTCGTGCTGTACTTGGACTTCAGTATAGCTAAATCCTGGGCGCTACTGTTTTCTCGCATGTTCATGAAAACCTCTCAGCTGCCATGGACATCATCAGCCAAGAATAATTGGTTAGACAATCGGGAACACAGAGTGACTGTAGTCCAGCATTCGTGCCGATTGCGGGGACTTGGTCGACGGACGAGAAGAAAGACCCGACCTCGAAGCGACAGGCCGGGGCAGAATATTGTCAACTGAGGCTGCGGACAACTAAAGCCCGGTGAATGAGATGAGATGAGATGAGAACTATCACGTACTCTGGGACAAACCCGTGTGACCAAATCTAATTCCTTGTCCCGCGTCGTTCTGAACTTTCTTCCGCCCCGCAAGTCTTGGAGACTTTCGACGACCATAGCATGAAACGGTACAACCTCAAAGACTCCGTCGTTGCACGGTGGACATCTCCCTGAGATACAACCGGCAGCCAGGCCGATAATCACCAACGAGAGTTGAATGAACATCGGGGTCTCGTCTCGTGTGTCATCCACCGTAACTGAAAACAAGGGTCAAAGGTCCGCGACGTAGGCCACACTGCAATCGGATTCCCCTCCCTCGCCGGTCTCACTGTGAATCTACAAACCGAGCGAGCGGCCCTGGAAACTGAATCATCAAGACTATTCGCTCGATTTCAGGCTGTGTGACAGTCCTAGCGGACCACCGGTGCTCTGCAATCGTACGAAATCCTGGTGGCTAACCACGCAATTCCTTCCCTCGTCTGTCTGATCAAAAGCCTCGTACCAAACTCTACATCAACCACTCCGCTACCACTATGCGAGGCGAAGCGAGGCAAGGAAGGGACAGAGACAGAGACAGATACAGAGACTGCAGCTGTAACCACGACATGCCACACCGAACATCGTCTTGCCCTGCCCCATGCTCTCCGCTGCCCTGAGCTGCCCTCTGCCCTGCCCTGCCCATCCATCCTTCCTTCCATCCATCCACCCTCTTCCCGTCCCATCAATTCCCACTGCTCACCATCTTCGCGCTCGAGACGAGCTGCAGGCTGTGAGATCGAGGGCAAGTGGAGGGGAGTACCAGTATCTGCAGAATCGAAGAAGCCATTCGCTCGGGCCCGTGATTCTTCCTCGGACGCAGAGACTCGCCTCGCCGAGTCAAATCTCACACTCTTCAGATCTTACTGTATTCCCACTCACCACCTCCCCAGCAACTGACTGCACACTCCGTAGAAGTGCCTCTGCTCGTCTCGTCGCCATAACTCATCTTCCTTCCTTCTTCTCCCTCTCCTTCATTGCCGCGCGCCGCTGTTAAGAGCCTCTCCGCACCATCGATCCGCCGTGTCGAACGGCGCCCGGCCGCCAGCAGGTCTCGCCGATCTCTCCACAGATCCGGCGTCAGATCGGAGTCATCGGACGGTCGAGAGCGGGCCGCTCGGCTGCCTCTGCTCACCTGGACCGGCCCGCCCTGGACCGGACCGTCCGGTCCGGTCTGTGCCCCGCCTCCATCCGCGCACTTTCTTCTGGTCCGATTCTTCTTCAGGAGCCGGTCACGGGTCGGGGATCACGAACTGCGCGACCTACGTCACCGGCGAGAACGTTCAGACAGAAAGAGAGAGAGAGAGAGAGAGGGAGGGGCTTCTCGGGCTCTGACGCCCCGCTCTGTCCGCGGTCGGGGCTGCCCGGCCCCGACACAAGAGGAATGTCTCGACCGGCGCGGGCGGCCCGGGCGGCCCGCGCAGCGCAACACCGCGGCGCGGCTTCACCCGGTACGTAGCCCGGCCGGGTGCCTTTTCCCGACGTGGTAAAGGCCACCGGGCGGGATACCACCGTCGAGAAAAGTCAAAGGGGTAGGGAAGGCCCGTAGGCGCTAGAGTAGGCAGTGGCATCATCGGGATGCAGGCCCCTCTCGCTGCTGCTGCTCGTATCCTTCCGGGCTCTCTCTCTCACTTGCCCCCAGTGGTGCGGCAGTTGTTACGCAGGTGATCGATCATTTTCCTCCTGCGACTTTGTGCAGAGCTTGGCTTCCCGGAGCTAGAAACAGCTCGAACAATCATATTTAATGGCACCTACGACGTTGCGACTCGGAACGTTGTGGTGATGTGCTTGGCTCCTATCCGGATCGACGTAGGCCCTGGTGTGATTCGGTAGCTCTTCCGATCTAACTCTTCTTTTCATTTATGCACGGGGGGCGGGCAATCTTGACGAAATCTACTTGATCTAGAATGGCATGAGCATGGGAAAGGTATCAAAGTGAACTGCTTAGTAGCACACACCCTGCATGGCCTACAGAGGTTAGACTCGGGGCGTAATATTCCTTCTGGGAAAGATGTCTAGATTACCTACTGAGAACGGATTGTGCTTGCGACTGTGCACAGCACGCACTCCATACGCCTGCGATGGATTCAATTCAATTCAAACCTGCGTGGCCAATTATCGCCTGAACCACCTTCTGGACTGAATCATTGATTATGTTCTCTACGTTTGTGAGTGATTGGTGACGCTGTCCACAACTCTGTTTTCCAAACTCGCAACGCGCTCGGGGGCTCTCTCCATCGCACGTCTTATAATATGTTCTATACTAATGTTATTTTCTTATCGATTCTGCTCGGCAAGAGTTTTTCCCCCTGCTGACTAGATGTGGCAAAATCTTGTCTACATGTGTGACTAGATTTTGCCACATCGGCATGAAACCTTGTTTGTGAGGCGTTTGTTAGTGCAATATCTTGCTTGCGATGCTTCTCATTGTCTCGAAGGGTTATAAGATGCATTCAGGAGTCTGGTCTTGTCATGATATTCTTAATCTCCCATGGCGACCGAAATAGTCTCATCTGACTTCAGCTACGACCATATACATCTCCGTATGTGTCAAGTTAAAGATGTCAAATTAACATCGTAGTTTGAGAACACCATGACGGCACGAGTGACAATCATTGGACTTGGATTGTACAGAATAATGGCGATGGCGCACCACTTAAAATATAATGCTTGGTTTTCAAGTTTTTGTAGAACTTTTTTGTACTTGTGTTCCCAAAAAAGGTTCAAATCAGGTTCCTCGCAACCCTTCAGGATTATTGGACTGTTGCAAAAGTGCAAGGACCTTAAGATATTCACTGAACCTTTTGTCCACCAATATTAGATGTAGCTCCAGACAGCCTGACTTTTTCTGTGAATTGTCTTCGAACCTTTCTGTTCTTCAAAAATTTGTACAGATACCAATGAAATTTGATATTCGAACTTAAGTTAATATGCACAAGGCCCCATCGACAAACCGTATCAAGATATCTTGAGACATGTCTTGCTACGGTTTGGGAATCTTCCTCTCCTTGGGAATCATGCTATGACACACAAAGTAGGCGTATTAAATAAAGGTAGTGAATTCGAATTTCTTTGAAGTTCGAGAATCATGTTTTTGAGTCATCAAGTCTATATAGATAAAGATGAACCAAAGTGAAGAGTTGAGGGGAAGTTCAACATTCAAAACTTGTGCATCACGATGTTCTTCAACGTACACTCTTGATGACCCTCTGCAGTCAACATAATGGGTATATCTAAAACATATAGTTTGAAATCAGCTAGATCTGCTGAATTTTTTCGGGTAAGGTGCACATACTTTCTCAGTGGCGGTGGACTCCTGTGCGTGGAGGATTAATAATCCGAATTACCGACTAGAACTAGACTTTTAGACCACGACCGCTTTGAAAAAGTTTATAGTGATAATGAAATCACGCCAATACATAGAATACTACGAGAAAAATAAAGTGAACTTGGGGCTAATTAGCCCTCACTCTAGTCGAGGTTTTTCTCTGATTGGTGGATGCAGTCTTATAGGTTTTTTGGATGATTAACAATCAGGTAGGGTGTTCGACCAATCATAGAATCGCATATTCTAGGGTGAGGGCTATTTAGGTAGGGTGTTCGACCAATCATAGAATCGCATATTCTAGGGTGAGGGCTATTTAGGTAGGGTGTTCGACCAATCATAGAATCACGTATACTAGAGTGAGGGCTAATTAACATAACTAGCTGTCCTCAAAATCAATTAGGATTTCAATATCTTTTGTGGTGGCATTGCACTTTACAACAATCATGAGGAGCTCTCAACTGACTTTCCTGCTCATGTGTTGTCAGCGGTATCGTTCTTGTTTTCTTCTTTACTCTTTTATGACCTTTTCGAGTATCGAGAGAGAAGAAGCCTAACTAAGGAACCTTCTAACCGATAAAGACCTACACGAGCTCGAGATACATGCTGCCGAATACTGGGTATTTAGCCTATATGGAAAACCAAAAAAAGGGAGAGAGAGAGAGAAAAAAAAAAAGAAACAAGAGAGAGTGAGAAAGAAAGGATGCATACTTAAATTGCCCCAGGGGGACAAGAAGAAGTTCACACTAGGTCATGTTCTTCGAGATTGATTTGATCTGTAACTAAGCCTGTCAAGGTTTTGTGGGTACATGACATGCATCTCATGATTTTATTCTGCAGCTACTCCACGATATTGTCTCAGATTCTAGATGAGTTCAACAAGCTCGAGCTACGGCTGATATTACTTCCATATAGTATTGGTCAAATAAAAGTTATCCGGGAGGACCAGAATGAACGGACGAATCCACATGAACGGCCATACATGGACGTACGAATATACAATTCGTTGAACATGTCGCGAAAATCCTAGTGGGGGACTCCAAAGTGCTGATTTGCTAAGGAGATAGTTTTTTCGCGTAAAAAAATCGGACACGCTTGACTTTCTTACCAGAGAGTGAATGCAGCGATACTCCACAGTGCCTGGAATTTTCTCTGTCCATCATTGCCCGTGATTTCTGAGGATCCTCGAAATTTGTATCCATGGGCTCATTCTCCCCGTTGAAACTTTCGCCGATCTAGCCACTCTAGTCGTGCACTTCAATTCATCATTAAATACTCCACCCGAAAGATGAATCTTTCGGCTCCATCACATAGTCTGACTCCGCAGCTCTCAATGTCCGCACTGGACGACCCTAAAGCTTCGATACATGTATTATTATTACAGTACAGCGAACCGGAAACCCCAAAAAGCAGTCCGTGCCTCAGACGAAAGAGGCGAGATACTGTTCGCTGTGCACAAACTCCCGATGATGAACCTTTGACCCTTTTCTCCACTTTGCTGGACGCGAAAAAAATTACGGGCAATCTCGGGCAAACGCCTTTAGCTCCCGGCGAAGCGATGACCTTCTCCAGTAGGGAACGCGTAGACCGGCACATATATATATATATACATAGACACACACACACATGGAGCAGCAAGCGACGAGCATGAGTTGTATGGCGCAGAGAGACACATGTTGAACACGTCACGAGGAGACGATTTGAGCACATTGATTTCAGAACATGGCCACAGGTCGTCGTCGTCGAAAGCGGCCTGGTCGGGTCTGGTCTGGTCTGCCCTGGCGCTCAACTGTAGTTAGTGTGGAGTGACCGGAGAGGGCGAGTGGCGGGCACTGACGAGGCACCACGACGCATCCCTCCCTCCATCCACAGCCCCTCGCCCACCGTCGATCCCGTGTTGTGGTCGCAAGCAACTGCAAGCAGTGGCAGCGCAGCGAGGCAAGGGAACGGAATATCTCGGAGCAGACACAGAGACAGAGAGACAGAGAGAGTGAGAGAGAGATAGAGAGGCCGGTCAACCAAGGGACGCACAGTAGAGTAGAGCAGTTGGGGTACGACAAATCCGACTCTTGCGCTTGACTCGAGTTTCTGTATTTTTCAGAAAAGGCAAAGTTTACGGTGGAATATGCATGTCGCAAGATGATGCTGCGGCAAAAAAAAGAGTGAACGCGGAGCAGATGCAACGAGATAATAGCGTGTTTCGCTTTTCTGACTGAGGCGCTGGTTTCCGTCCCGGCTTGGCTAGATAAGATAGAGTGGATGGATGGATAGATAGATAGATAAACAGGCAGATCGAGAACAGATAGAAGCAGTCGGGCTTTTTATCTCACTTGGATAAAATAGGATCTTCTATATTTCGCCTGGGTGAAAGGCGGAGCCTTGGATTATAAATGGCAAGTGCCAACTCTCCTCTCGCTTTGTCTCCACTTCTTCCGTGAACAACCGAACTACTTCTGAAAAATATTGAGTTATTGGATATTAAACTTAGCCAAGGTGGTATACGTCCCCAGGTCTAGGAAATAGAAGATATGTGTGCGGGTATATTCTCTTATTATTTTTTATTTCAGATAAAAATAGGAAGAAGTTTGTTCTAAAACGTGAGTATGGTTCAAATTTCTCATCAGCCGGTGTGCATAGCATGGACT